CCCCAAGCTGCCAGCACAAGGCAGACGACGCTGCAGGAGTTTGCCTTGCCACGATCAATCCCAACTGCTCGTTCGGGGAAAGAGGCCTGGGAACAGTGGTTCTCGGTGGACCTGAAGCGTGGCCTCTTTTGTGCTCTCAAGGACTATACGAAAGCGATGATCAAGGTTAGCGCCAGACCTTGGCAGCAGCAATTGTCAAGTATCAGACCTTCTCTCAATTCGAAACTGAGTACGCTGGGCATGCGGCAACGTACTCTGGTTTGCTGCAGGTGGTGCGAAAGAGGAAGCGTGAAAACAAACTGTAACAATGTCAATTGATATCGTGTACTTCAACCAATCAATCGATTGTAGGTTTGTTTTGTCGCAATTGCGATTCTATCTATACATAAATTTTTCAAGGAAGACCTCAAAATTCGAGCAACAGAAATATAGAAATTCAAGGTTCAATTTAGCAGCAATCCAAGCGAGTGCCCTGAGTTGATGCGAAGAGACCCGAGGAGATCCATTAATGTCTTTCGAGGTACAATACCTGTATGATTCCAACAATTCCGGATTGTTGATTGCTTTACGTTATCCCAGGCTTCGATGGACCACTTCATTGCTGTGAGTGCATCAACGACATACAGTTTCTTGCCACTCTCGGTAGCTTTGTCAATCATCCCAATGACATGATCCATTTGACAACGTTTGTAGTGGCTCTTGAATGATGCGATGATACCAGCGTCGATGGGTCGCAGGAAAACAGTCGTGTACGGGGGCAGCATCATGAGCTCCACGTTGGTAACAGATACACCAAGTGGTTTATGTGATGACGTATTGTCCATTATCAACAGGACTGCTCTGTTCTCCGATGCCATCAAGGCATTGAAGTCGTTGATCCAATCGGCGAAGAGGGCCATTGCCATCCATGCTTTACGATTTGAACGGTAAAGTACCCCAAAGTCTTGGCATGCCAAATTACCAAAGCAGCGTGGCCATTTTGATTTCGCAATGAACGTAGGTGGCAGCTTGTGGGAACCATCGACGTTGGTTGCCAAGGCGACTGAGATTCGACACTTGTCTTGCTTTCGTCCGGGCCTTGGCTTGTCCGAGATTGTGTTCTTCGGTATACCATTGTAATACAATCCTGTCTCATCCATGTTATAGACATCAATTGGGCTATACAGATCATCCGTTTGCCTCAGTGCGGCTCTACCGTCATAGACGGTGGATTGGTTTGCGGATGATGCCTCGCCGTGCAGCCGATACATCTGAAGATGCTTTCGAGATTGAAATCGGTACAGTCACCCTTTTGAACACTTGAGTCGGTTTTGTAGGATCATTCTTGCGGAAAGTTGAAGCCCCATTTTTGCAATTATGCCCCCCGTAACGCACATTTTTGTTGTTTGCTTTCGACACCCACTCGGCGACTTGTTTGTCCAGTTCAGGGTGTCTTGGACCCTGGAAATTGAGCCTTGCTTTGGCTGACTCGGCCTTTATGTTATAGGCCTCGATTTTTCGCTTGACCATGAGAATTCGTCGAATGGTCGTGATATGTAGCAATACTCCAACTTTCTGGGCGACCCATTGCTGCATTTCAGTCGATGTTTTGGCTGCGTTAGCCGCATAGTACTCTCGAATCATATTCTTCTCGGGATCGAGTGTCGTCTTGTTTGCGATTTCCCTTGCGGCATTTTTTCACATGTCCAAATACAATGACCCAGTCAAGCTGATGCCTAGCCTCATAATCTCAGGTTTGAAAATCCAAACCGAATTCAAATTGACCTGTGCAAATATAATGAGTATTGATTTATACGGAATATTCGATTTGACCAGGGAGCAAACCTTGGGGGACAACTGTACAGTGAACCCCGGAAAAAGCCGACATGCTTTCATCCTGACATGCATGGAAGCGGAATAAAATCGAATTTATTAAATTACACGGCTTAGTTCAAGTTGATTGGCTATAATCAGGAGAATTTATGTGCACCAATCAGAAGCGCTACAAATTTAACTACACCTCAGTATGAGGGTCT